AAAAAAAAAAAAAAAAAAGAATAAAATAAAATAAAAGCAACGAGGAGAGCTATACAGGATCTCGTGTGTTGGAACAAGTGTTCTTCGCCAAATCTGGCACGCGGCGACATAATGCGCGTGTGGAGGCTAAATTACCGCCTTCCTGAATTCTATAAAGTTCCTTCGCTTGCGGCGAATCTTTATCCGCGCTTGCGAATCTTTTTCATTATCGAACATGTGTGGTTTTCATGATATATATGCATGTTCTCTAATATAACATATATATATAATAAAAAATATAAATAGTGTAGAGTATAATAATTACAATGTGTATAATTATAATAACAATATAATAAAAAAATAAAGAAGCTTCTATTTTACTACTGCTTGTATATATGTTTATATTATTACACATTATATTTTCGTCTAATCTCTCTTTCTATTCTCTTTCTCCAAAAGTATTTTTTATGTTACATTGCATATAGACCATATTCTCTTACATTAGTATTTTTTTTTTTTTTTCGCAGACACTCGTGCTCGATTTAGAAAAACTTAAAATCCACGATCGCGTGATAAGTTATAGGATCAGGATCGAGGAAAAGTTGCATTACCATTGATCGAGGCGTTAATTGTTTTCGCGAATGTTACAGTAACAACTACTTTACTTCGTATTGGAAGTGTGTTTACGTCAACGTGTCATATTTAGCATGCATTTAACACTCTCGTATCTATACTCATTCGATATCATAATTTTTTAATCTCGACTCGATCAAATAATTTGTCTGACTCCGATTATAATATGTCGGTAATATATTGAATTCAGTCTGGAATTGAATCATCTGATTGAATCATCGTTTGAGAGTCGCACGATCGCGTTTAACGCTAAACGCGATCGTTTAACTCTCGGCGCCGACGATAACATCGTGATGATAATGTCATGTGCTATGATTTGCGCTAACAATAAATGGATACAGCTCTACCTGAAAATAGGCACCTTTAACAAATAATCATACTAAATGCAACATCGATTCTCTACCGTGTTGAACGTAATTCCAATATCAAATGGATAAATCAAACAACCGCGATTAACACGTTAAATGTAATTTGTTTAACATTGAAATCGTAAGCTTGAC